AAATTTGCCTGTTTTTATGTATCTATGAGTTATAGCACTGAGAGCCATTATTTACAAGGTAAAGAACAAAAGTCACAGGAAGCAAATATCCTGCTATTTAATGAAAAGCACCTTTCTAAATGGGGGTATAAACGTGGGCCTGCAACTCTGGTTTTCAGACTGTGTGCTGGGATCCTCCAAAGTGGGTTGTGACTCTCTCATAGATGGATCGTGATACCAGAAAAGAAGAGGAAGAACTGGGATATCTGGGGAAATGAGGCTCTCATAAGCTAGCCTGCAAATTTGGGTTTGTCTCTGTATAGTGAACATAATGGCAAAAAACACAGCCTTCCCCTCAATAATGCTATATTTAGAAATAGCGAAAGATAATAAAAATAAAAGTGCACAGTGTTATCTGATTTGAAATTCCTGCGTTTTATATAGGGAAGGTGGAAAGTAGCATGGAGTTACTTTTCGTGTGTCCTGCAAACTGTCAGTTTAAGAAGTCAGAACTGTTTTGCATCACCCCATCACTGCATCTGAGAGCAGCTTCCATGATAATCAAGAAAGGCTTCCTGGTTCCACGGATGTTCAGCAATAGCAGAAATGGAGGTCCACACAGAGACCTATTGCCAACACTGGGAGAGCAAGCATCTTACTACAGGAAGAGCACAGGCCTCAATTGTTGATGTTACCACAGAAGTGAGAAAACTGGTGGTAGAAAATGCTGTCAACTCACAGCTGATTTATGGCAACTCCATGGGGTTTTCAAGGCAAGAGGCGTTCAGAGGTGGTTTGCCATTGCCTGCCTCGGCGTCACAACCCTGGGATTCCTTGGAGATCTCCCAACCAAATACTTGCCAGGGCTGATCCTGCTTAGTTTCCTAGACCTGACAAGATCGGGCTAGCCTTGGCCCTTACACTTCTTGTGTCACAAAAGCTTGTCATGTCCATGACTATACATGAATCCAAGAAGTACTTTAACCCAGCCACTGATGCTGTGACAATTACCTACGGCACAAATTCTGTTTACACGTGCCAGACTGTGATAGCCATGGCATCCTCTCTACTGCAGTCTGATGCACTGGGATAATTCATCCACTCCTGCAGCTTGTTGGCAGCCACATCTATCCCATTAGGAAGAATAAAATGAGGAAGTAAACAAGACTATGAAACGAATTGCCGCCAGTTCCAAAGACCAACACAGAGCAGCGGTCAGGCCGCAGACTGAGTTTCAACACTAGTCATCAAAGATGCAGAAAACAACTAAACTGGGGGGGAAAGTAATAGATATAGGCAAGAAGAATGACAAGTTCAGACAGAAAAATAATAATGGAAGAATGGACTGATGGGAGCAAAAATGTTCCTTGAACTACATTAATGGTGCAATCCCATGCAAAGTGACTATTGTCTAAGCACCCTGCAATCAGTGGATTTAGTATAACTCTTATTAGGATTGCACTTCACATTTCCCAGGGAACACAATGATGGAGAAGGAACCAAAAGATTATTACTCATATCTCGCAATGGCTAGAGCTAGCCCTCAGGTGCAAGGGGGCTCGCCAGCACTGTAAGCCATCACCATGTTATGCTATTTTTGTTGCTGTTGTTCAGTCGCACAGTCGAGTCCGACTCTTCGCAGCCCCATGGACCAGATCACGCCAGGCCTTCCTGTCTTCCGCCGTCCTCTGAAGTTTGCTCAATTTCATGTTCGTTGCATCGATGACACTGTCTAACCATCTCATCCTTTGCCGTCCCCGTCTTCTTTGACCTTCAGTCTTTCCCAGCATCAGGGTCTTCTCCAGGGAGTGCTCCCTTCTCATTTGGTGGCCAAAGTATTTGAGCTTCCGTTTCATTATCTGGCCTTCCAGGGAACAGTCAGGGTTGATTTCTTTTAGGATTGACTGATTTGATCTTCTTGCAGTCCAAGGGACTCTCAAGAGTCTTCTCCAGCACCATAGTTCAAAAGAATCTGTTCTTCGGCACTCGCTTCCTTATGAAGCATATGGAGCAGAGGTCCATCAGTGGCTACTAGCCACAAGGTATAGATAGGGACTCTGGGGCAAGTGATGCTCTGTCATCTTGGTGCTTGGGGGGGTCAACAGTGGGAGGGCTTCTAATGTCCTGGCCCCACTGGTGGACCTCCTGATGGCACCGGTATTTCTGGCCACTGTGTGATACAGAGTGTTGGACTGGATGGGCAGCTATACCTTGTGGCTAATAGCCACTGATGGACCTCTGCTCCATATGCTTATCTAATTCCCTTTTGAAGCCGTCCATGCTTGTAGCCGCCACCACTTCCTGTGGCAGGGAATTCCATGCCTTCTTCTTGTCGCACTGAGGAAGCTGCCGCTTCTTGCTCCTCTCTGCTGATGCCAGAAGAAACTGGGCACTGGTGGTGGATAAGTGAGCAAAAAGGTGGACAGGGGTGGGAAGCAGGGCTATCTGTGGCAGCTGCGCCAGAAACCATAGCTGCTACAGTCACTCAGAGACCTCTCAGGACATGGAGTTTCTGCATGTATTAGATCTGCAAAACCCAGCTTACTGAACAGGTAGCAAGATAAAAACAGCAAAGTAAGGACACATTAAGTAAAGGTAAAGGTTCCCTTGCTCAAAAGCCAGTCGAATCTGACTCTAGGGTAGCGGTGCTCATCTCCGTTTCAAAGCCAAAGAGCCAGCGCTGTCCGAAGACGTTTCCGTGGTCATGTGGCCGGCATGACTAAACACCAAGGCGCACGGAACGCTGTTACCTTCCCACCAAAGTGGTACCTATTTATCTACTTGCAATTTCTTGCTTTCGAACTGCTAGGTTGGCAGGAGCTGGAACTAGAGATGGGAGCTCACTCCATCATGCGGCACCCGGGTCTCGAACTGCTGAACTACTGACCTTCCACAGCCTGCAGTTCAGCGTCTTAACCACTTGAGCCACCGCAGCTCCAAGGACACATTAGAGGCTGAGAATTTCAAGGAACCTGGGTAAAGAACCGGATACAATACAGTATCTGGTAGGAGTGTAGTGCTTAAGGATGCTGATGAATGATTCTAGTTGCTGGGACAGTATTTCACAAAGATAAGAAAAGTCAGGCTGTGATTACATGAATTGCTACTGCACGTAGGTGGTTGCCAGTATGGATGCACCCAAGGAAAGCAGGTACTTCCTGTGTGCAAAAAATATCCATCAATACTTTGTGAAAGATCCCCTAGTGTCTAATGCATAGGTGTTAAAACATGCGTGTAAAAATAGCAGTTTACATTTACTGTTTACGAATCTTATATAAACATCAAGACTTTCTCACATATTCACATCAAAACATCAAAACTTTCTCACATATTCACATATTCACAGTTCCAAAACAATCAGGATCTTTTAGCACCAAAAATGTATTATACAGATGTTTTGAGGGATCCAAACATCCTTCTTCAAAGCATCCCTTTTTGTTGCAGAGAAACTGCATCCCCCCGCATTTGAAAGCCAAATGTTCCATTGCTGGTAAATTCAAGAGCTGTCTTCTACCAAAAAAAGATCATCTTTTTAGAGATGACTCTATAAGGTTTTAGAGCACAATCCAACTAAACATGTTTTTTAAAAATTATCATCCATACCACTGTACCACTCAAGTGCCAAAGTGCTGGTCTAACCCTTTATTTAAAAGCCTCAAATACCGATGGTAAGTACCAACGGCACGTATGAGTAATCCCTACTTCAATCGTCTCACAGTTTAGTGGACCTTTTTAAAAACAGTCTTTAAAAAGTCTGTACTGTCTTTCCCTGTTTCCTGTGGTATAGCACACATCTCCCCTAAAAGCTCTCAGTATATTTAGTTATTAAATTTGACATTCAAAATGTGTGAAGTAAGGATCATTGCATCTTCTAGAAAATGTCTAGAAAATCTTCTAGAAAAAATATTTTTTTTGGTTCTATATATCCTGTAATGTATAATGATTTTGATATATACAACTTTTTATATAATCCCTCTTTTCTTTTTGTATCCCTCCTATATTATAATGTATGTTCTAAACAGGGCTTTTTTGGTAGAAAAAGTCCAGCAGGAACTCATTAGCATAATAGGCCAAACCCAGCAGCAGAAACTCATTAGCATATTAGGCCACACCCCTGATTGCACCGCTCATTAGCATATTAGGCTGCATTCCCATGTTACCAGAAGTGTGGTCATCCAGCCACACCCACCTTTTGCTTCTTATTCTGTTTACCTTGTTTGTTGTCAAAACCCAGGGCTTTTTTTGTAGCAGGAACTCCTTTGCATGTTAGGCCACAGACCCCTAATGTAGCCAATCCTAATGAGTTCCTGCTGTTGGGTGTGGCCTGTTATGCTAATGAGTTCCTGCTGGGTGTGGCCAACTTGGGAGCCAGCCGGAACTTCGTTCCTGTGCGTTCCTGCCCAAAAATAGCCCTGGTTCTAAAACAGACAGACAGACAGACAGACACAGATACACACACACACAAAAGCTCTCAGTATATAGCCTGTGACTGCTGGAGGAGGGACTTGCAGGAGACCTGCTCAAAGTAAAACATGTGGATAGTTCCAGGAGGTAGCTGTGTTTGCAGTAGAAAAGTCCAGTAGCGCCTTAGAGACCAAAAAGAGTTTCAGGGTGTAAGCTTTCAAGCGTCAAAATTCCCTTTGCCAGACACAATAGAACAGAAGTGGAAATCTGAGTGTTGCAAGGAATGGTAGCTGAAGGAGTCCACGCACAAGAAAGCTTATACCCAGAATGCTACCGCGTTGGTCTTAAAGGTGCCACCGGACTCAAACTCTGTTCTGCAAAGAATGCTTGTAAAAGATGCAGAGGGACAATGTATATTGTAACCAGCTTGATCAGAGCAGAGGAGAAACGCTTGGGGGCAGAAGATTAGCCCATGAAGTGAGATAAAAATCCTGTTGCGGGTAAGCCCTCCATGGCAGAAAGCTATCAAGCTGCGGCTATACCATCTGCCGCACTCAGATCTGAAACACACCAACATAAAATAAAAAGAGGAAAATCCCCCCCAACAGCATCCTCACCAGATTGATCAGCCTCCTCATGGCATTTTCATGTGAGCAAATACATTCACAGGGATCGAATCCGCCTTCTGCCATGGTCACTCAAATGAAGCTTAACCAGACCTAGACGAGAAAAGACATGACACAGATCAAGATGGGTAGCTGCATTTTAGTCTGTCTGTAGCAGTAGAGCTGCGGTGGCTCAAGTGGTTAAGACACTGAACTGCAGGCTGTGGAAGGTCAGTAGTTCAGCAGTTCGAGACCCGAGTGCCGCATGATGGAGTGAGCTCCCGTCTCTAGTTCCAGCTCCTGCCAACCTAGCAGTTCGAAAGCGAGAAACTGCAAGTAGATAAATAGGTACCACTTCGGTGGGAAGCGAACAGCGTTCCGTGCGCCTTGGTTTTTAGTCATGCCGGCCACATGACCATGGAAACGTCTTCGGACAGCGCTGGCTCTTCGGCTTTGAAACGGAGATGAGCACCGCAACCCTAGAGTCGGATTCGACTGGCTTTCGAGCAAGGGGAACCTTTACCTTTACTTTTTAGCAGTAGAAAAGAGCAGGAGTCCAGGAGCACCTCAAAGACTAACAAAATTTGTGGCAGGGGAGGAGCTTCTGTGAGTCACTCTTCACTTCTTCAGAATACCTGAAGAAGCATCTGAAGAAGTGAACAGTGACTTAAGAAAGCTCATACCCTGCCACATATTTTGTTAGTCTTTAAGGTGTTACAAGACATGAGATGTTACTCACATTCATTGTTCCCAAAGGAATACCAATTCTTGTTTGGCAAGCAGATGTCAATCCTAAAAATGTAACCACATTTCTGTATAGGTAAGGGGCAAAATCCAGCAAATGTTATGGTTAAATTAGACTGAGAGTTACTTAATTTATGTTTTGTATATTGAAATTGTTACTTTGCAAGTGGTTCTACCTCCTCAAAGTAAGTTTAGAGGCAAGACTCTCTTCAGCACTGTTGAACCACTGCTTTAGACCATGTGTGCAAAGATCCAAGCAAAAGTATCATTAACAAGATGCATTTTGTATAATTCTTCAGTATTTAATACAGTACTTAATTAAGCTATTAAATGACTACATGTTTCCCATCACAAACATACATGACTTTTTAAAAACTGCATATACCTGGCATAAACTGAGCGGTGGCCACAATGACCAGAAATGTAAGTGGCTGCTTTCCCATAAAACATATCTCAGCTTACCAGCTGCAGGGGACAAGGTAGAGGTAATGGGTTGGATCCTGTGGATCTGTTCCCCTAGCACAAGGATATCATGGCCCTCACTTTCCTATATGGTGAGGAGGAGTTGGAATGATGAAGAAGAGAAGGAAGAAGAGGAGGAGATTGGATTTATACACCGCCCTTCACTCAGAGTCTCAAAGCAGCTTACAAGCTCCTTTCCCTTCCCACAACAGACACCCTGTGAGGTAGGTGGGGCTGAGAGAACTCTTTCGAGAACTGCTCGTGAGAGAACAGCTCTGACAGAACTATGGCTTGCCCAAGGTCATCCAGCAGCTGCAAGTGGAGGAGTAGGGAATCAAACCCAGTTCTCCCAGATTATTATTTATTTATTCTTCATTTCCCCCCATCTATATTTCACCCTCCCCACGAATGGGTTCAGGGCAGATCACAATTTACACTTAGGCCTTACGGCATTACAACAAAATAGTAATAATTAACTGAAACCATTAAAACATCATTAAAACAATATACATCAATATATACAGTCCCCAATATTGGTGTTGCTGAAATCCAAGGCCGCATTCAGCGGGGGAGACAGCTTTTTTTCTGGACGCCTGTCGCCTCACCCAAAGGAGTCCACGCACTTAACTACTGCACCAAACTGGCTCTGTGATAAACACATTTAGACTACAGGCACATACAATGAGAGGTAGTCTTTAGTAAGACATGAAGCTCGTTGGGTGATCTTGGGCCAGTCACACATTCTCAGCCTAATCTACCTCACAGGGTTGCTGTGAGGATAAAATAGGGATGGGAGAACCCTGAATGTCATCATAAGCATACACAGATAATACTAGAGATGTAAAATTTCCGGAAATTTTGAAGCTCAGAAAACTCCCCCGTTTTTTCCAGTTTTTTTCGGGGGGAAATGGAAATTTTCAGAAAAATTGAAAAAAATGCTACATTAGCATTTCTTTTGTCTTTTCTAGATTAAAAGTCATTCTGTTACTTTAGGAACATAAAATATGACTGGACATTTTTACTTGGCATGAAATTATCACAATTGGCATATTAAAAATATAGTGTATCCAAACAATTATTACAAACAGAATACCCACCCACATGCAAAAACAAAACTGAAACCTTTTTATTTTCTTCTGACACTAGCATCTCCTAAGGAAGAAATGCATCTTGTTCTTGCATTGGAGAGTTCAGTTTGTAACTTAGGACTTGCTTGTCCTCAGTGCACAGAAATTAGATCAATCTGATACCACATATATATATATATTAGAAATGATTTGGAAAATATTTGAACACCTTGTCTTAAAATATTTTATTCATCATGTTAAAACAAAACGTTCCATAATCAATTTCTTTTCTTTTCTTTTCTTTTTTCAATTTTTCAGAAAAAAACAAAAAAGGCTTCAGGAAAAAAACGGGGGGGAAACGTCCCCCCCCCCGATTTTTCCCAGGTTTTTTCCAGGCCTTCACATCTCTAGATAATACCCATAAGTCCCTCTCATGATGGTGTTGTCCTTCATTAATGGGTCCTTCATTATTTGACACCTGTCCAATATGGAACCAGGCACAATGCAGACATTATACCATCTTGAAGAATGACCATAAACAGGGATGTGCATTTTCTGATTCTGGCAGATACTATGATAGGTGTATGCTCTACCGCTCATGATGGTCCCTGGCATCCTTGTAGTTATTTATTTATTTTTTTTGGTACCGTCAGTATTAACTTTGCGGCCTATCAAAGACTTTTTTTTTTAATTTCCTGAAAGACATTGCTTCCAACAGGCTCAGATCATAACAGTGATACCCGGTAAAGCAAATAAAAGGGTCATAGCTGACCGAAAGACTCCATGCATCCTTCCTAACAAATTCAAGCATCAGGTTGAAGATATAAAGTAATCCTCTGCCTGCCCTGTCCCAGGACTCATTGTTCACTATGGAAGGCTTAATCCAATGGGAACAAAGCAAATAGTAAATAGAATGCCCGCTGCTCTTGCTTGGTGGGTCACAGCCTGCATTTTCATAATGGACCGGACCAGAGATTCCCACAATTTAGAAGGTATTCCCAAACACACATACACTGTTATCAAGACACCCAGTGAAACTAGGAGCGTTTGTGTTCATACCCTCCTTTCTACATAAGAACATAAGAGATGCCAATGTTGGATCAGGCCAAAGGCCCATCCAGTCCAACACTCTGTTATCACACAGTGGCCAGAAATACCAGTGCCATCAGGAGGTCCACCAGTGGGGCCAGGACATTAGAAGCCCTCCCATTGTTGATCCCCCCCCCCAAGCACCAAAAAGACAGAGCATCACTTGCCCCAGAGCCCCTATCTATACATTGTGGGTAATAGCCACTGATGGACCTTTGCTCCATATGCTTATCTAATTCCATTTTGAAGCCGTCCATGCTTGTAGCCGCCACCACTTCCTGTGGCAGTGAATTCCAAGTGTTAATCACTCTTTGGGTGAAGAAGTACTTCCTTTTATCCGTTCTAACCCGACTGCTCAGCAATTTCATGGAGTGCCCACGAGTTCTTGTATTGTGAGAAAGGGAGAAAAGTACCTCTTTCCTATGCATAATCTTATAAACCTCAATCATGTCACCCCTCAGTCGTCGTTTCTCCAAGCTAAAGAGCCCTAAGCGCCTTAACCTTTCCTCATAGGGAAAGTGTTCCAACCCTTTTATCATCCGAGTTGCCCTTTTCTGCACTTTTTCCAAAGCTATAATATCCTTTTTAAGGTGTGGTGACCAGAACTGCACACAGTATTCCAAATGAGGTCTCACCATTGATTTATATAGGGGCATTATGATATTGGCTGATCTGTTTTCAATACCCTTCCTAATAATCCCCAGCATAGCATTGGCCTTCTTTATTGCAGTCACACACTGTCTCGACATTTTCAGTGAGTTATCCACTACAACTCCAAGATCTCTCTCTTGCTCAGTCTCTGCCAGTTCAGACCCCATCAATGTGTATTTATATTTAGGATTTTTGTCTCCAATGTGCATCACCTTGCACTTGGCCACATTGAACCCTATTTGCCATGTTGACGCCCACTTGCCCATCTTTGACAGATCCCTTTGGAGTGCCTCACAATCCTCACTGGTTTTCACCACCCTGAACAACTTTGTATCATCCGCAAATTTAGCTACTTCACTGCTTACTCCCAACTCCAAATCATTAATGAACAAGTTAAAAAGCAGTGGACCAAGTACTGATCCCTGCGGTACCCCACTGCTTACCCCCCTCCACTGAGAGAACTGCCCTTTTATACTCACTCTCTGTTTTCTATTAATTAGCCAGTTTTTGATCCATAAAAGGACTTGTCCTTTTATCCCATGATTTTTGAGCTTACTTAGGAGCCTTTGATGAGGAACTTTATCAAACGCTTTCTGGAAGCCAAGGTAAACAATATCTATTGGATCCCCCTTGTCCACATGTTTGTTCACCCCCTCAAAGAACATTAACAGGTTAGTGAGACAAGATCTTCCCTTACAGAACCCATGCTGAGTCTGCCTCAATAGGTTTTGTTCATCTATGTGCCTACTAATTCTTTCCTTAATAATGGTTTCCACCAATTTACCCGGTATCGACGTCAGACTGACTGGCCTGTAATTGCCCGGATCTCCTCTGGAACCCTTTTTAAAGATGGGAGTGACATTTGCTACCTTCCAGTCCTCAGGAATGGAGGCTGATTTCTGCTTAATTAGCTTTCAAGGCAGCTAACAATGTACAAAATAAAAGATTGTGCAACCTTTATTTTAAATCAGAACACACAAATAGTAAGATCCCTCACCCCTTATGCTGTACAAGTGCACATATCAATAACAATAAGCCACAGAATCATGCTAGAATGGGGGTCCCCAACCTTTTTGACCCTGTGCACACCTTTGGAATTCT